GTACTTGGACCCTTAGGGTTACATTCATTTTGACAGCAGAAGCTAGGAGAGGAGACCTCGCCCCTGTGCAGGAGGCCATCTTTGGTTTCATGCAGGACTGTTCGATCAAATTCCACTGCTCGAAAGATTCCTTGTCACGTGCATGAACATGTTCTCCGACTTGCTGTGCAGTATGATGTGGCAAAACAGAATCAGCTTGAGCAAGCAGCATCAATCGGTGTTATTGATGTTGACATGTACAGGCAGAATTAAGATCAAGAGCAACTCAGATAGTGATTGATGCAGCTGGCTGGTTGTGGTGCCTGCTTCTATGGATGCTTGCGAATGTTTACGAGGTTTGAAAGCTGGTCATGATGAATGTCATGGGATTCAGCTCGGGAGTGTGTGGTGTCTTTCATGCAGTCTCACGCTACTCACTCAGAGCTCAGGATTTTGGACGCATGTCAGGGGCATGCCTCAGCAGACGCTGCACACACCAAGTTTTAAAGCTTCAAGTTCGCCCTACTGGTCGGCTTGGGCTCTTTTCTTATGCATCTGGGTCTACTGTACCCGAGCAGCGGCCGAGTCATTGTGATATAGCGTTACCAATATTACCATCTTGTACCACGCCTGAGATTTTGGCAGCTTGTTTCCTTTGATATATGCCCCGTCTTACTTTCGACGAGTGCCGTTCATTGATGAATACCAAAAGTGTCGCACAGCGTGGTCGACCAGAGATGCCGTAAAGTCTAGACTCTAGATTGTGTCAAGGCTTAGGGTTTAGAGTGTAGGGAAGTGGCGCGGGAACTTGTTGGTATCGCGTTGCCTTTTCCTTTACCCGCTGCTCCGTGTTTGCTGCACCAAGGAGACACGCAGCCACCTGGCCCACGGGAATATTTTCATGCTGTAGAAGCCCAAACGCCCCACGTTCCGTTGAACAAGTAGAATATTCACGAGTGGCTGAAGTCATGTCCGACCAAGCCTAGATTGGTTGCAGGTTTGAGGCCAAGAAGTCGAAGCCAATCAAGACTGCAAAATCTCAGGAAGTTGCATGATGCTGAGTTTTTTGCGTCGTTTTCGGGATGCCATGCCGCTCGCCATGGGGCCCTTTGTGCGGCTGCATGACCTCTGACTGTGGAGATCTTACTTGACGCGTCCGGCGACATGTCAAGCGACGCGTCAAGCTCTGCGGAGAGCGATGCCTCGCCAGGCCCGTTCTGAGGGATTCCACTTTCAAGCCGCATTTGGGACGGCATGTGTACTATAGTCCAAACTCCTTAAAGGGGATAACACAGAGCATTATATAGGGCAGTACTGTAGAGGTTATCAAGGGGGATACTGGGAGTTTAGACTATAGCTCATGAGGCTTTCAACCTGCAGGCGCAATGAAAAGTCCGGCTGCCAAAGTTGCAGACTTGCGGGCAATGATGGAAGAGAAGGCTTGGACTATGACTTGTGCTTTCCACCTAGTTTGGGTTTGGGGTTCAGGGTTGAGGGTTTAGGATTTAGGGTTGTTTAGCATATCATTTCCTCCTAATATGAAAGGGCTCCCCCTAATGCATCCACTCCGAACTGTGTTTAATATTATGATATAGGGTGTAAAGTAGGATCCTATTGAAGTCTGTTTAAAATATATTCAAAATCGAATGAAAGACGTTTAGATGGAATAAAACAGCCGATTAGATTTCATCAAAATTGTGACCACCCCTGCATTCAGAGGATCCGAGCCGTAAGTAACTTTAGTCTTGGCCCTTTGAAATGTGTCTTGGGGGCAAATTTTTTAGAATTCGGAATTCTGTGGAACCTGCATTTAATGTTAGGGGCGGGTTTAATATTAGGGGTAAGGGATTCAGCTCGGTCTGGTAGTTTGCCCAGACTTCCCACCAGGAGCCGAATTTGAAAAAGATCTGGTGCAAGGCTCAGGCAAGTGAGACGCTTTTGCGTGTGGGTGGTTGTCAAAATTATGATCCCTTTTTGGGTACCCTAAACATGGTAGTTTCCCTAAATAGGGGGACCCCAATATAGACTCCAAAATACTATAATCCTTAATATGGGGACCCCCAAAAAGGTACCCCTAATTTTGGGAAAGTCCCATATAAGGTGCCGTAATCATCATGTTGACAACCACCCACGTCTCCGATTCGTGGCAATGTGTCGGTGGCCCTGCGGAGGAGACAGAGCTGCCTGGTGGCCTGGTTGCCAACCATGAGGCAATTATTACTACTGTTGTTGGTTTAGGGTTTAGGGTTTAGGGTTTAGGGTTTATATTATCATTAGCATTATTACTACTGTTGTTACTGTTACTACTATTATTACCATTCTGTATACTAGTACTATTGTTGTTAGTATTTTTTATGGTTACTACCAGTCTTACTATTTAAAGTTTAGGGTTTAGGGTTCGGTCTTCAAGTTCGCGGCGCTTAGAGCGATCTTCCTGCTCGTAAGCAGTAGTAGTAATAGTCGTAATATCAGTAATAGTAAGAATAGTAGTAATAGTAATAATAGCAATAATAATGTTGGACCCTCTTTAGTGTAGAGGTCCCCTATAATGTGTTTTCGGGGCTGGCGTATTCAGGACCTGGGCAATGATTTGAGGTCCCCTATAATGTGTTTTGATTTCGTGGCCCTAAAAATATAGGAAGGATTCTCAACAATCCCTTTTAAATCAATCTACAGGGACCTCAGAACCGTGGGAGCTCAGGGGGGCCGTATTGAGGCCCCTCTAATTTCTATTTTTCGGAGGGCCCTTATGTTAGGGGGGGGGCCCTACTTATTAAAGAGGGTCCAACATTACTAGTAATAGCAGTAACAGTAGTACTATTATTGACCGTTGTAGTAGTAGGAAGGAATGGTAATACTTGTAGTAATAGTACTAGTAGTAACAGTAGTGCCTGTTCTAACTAACCATGCTGGCGCAGACTGCTTTGGATGCTGCCAGATGCGGTGACTGGGCGCCAGGGCCTTGAACAGCTTTGTAGTCTCGGATCCGAGCCACGGTATACAGTAATAATGATAGTAATGGTAAGAAGGATAGTACTAATAGTAATATAGTAAGAATAGTAATAGTGGTAATAGTAATAATGGTAATAATAGTCGTACTGGTAACGACAGTTTAAAGGGTGCTTTGCAAGGTTGTGCATGTACCTGGCAGCACGGTGCTGCAAGGCACGTCCGGGGTTTCATAGGCTGATTGAAGCTGGTTCCCTAGCGATGCCCTGAGGAGAACCCAGCAAAGCTTGCGGCTCTGGACGAGCGTTGTCATGGGACTGCTGTGGCAAGTGCAGCCCAGCTTTTCATGTAAATCAATTTAAACAGCTTTGCTTCATTGGGACGAGCGGAGCACCTCTTTGTGTCCAGACTTATGGAAGGACGCTTTGGATGAAGGTGGCCGCTCCTGTTGTGGTCGACATACCTCGCGGCCAGGACACCTTTCTGCTGTGCTTTGTAATGCAGAGTTTGGAGCTGAAGTGATCGTCTAAAAGGTAGCTGCACGTCCCAGATAAAACCCGATATTTTCTAGCTCACAATCCCTTTTAATGGGGGTTAGTAGGGAATAAGGGATTAGAAATCCCTGTCTTATTTCGAAATAACATAGTCTCTTATTCCGACAAATCCCCAGAAAGTCCGTGCTTTCAGGCCCCGCTCTCCGTGTTCTGTAGTCAGTGCTCAATACCTCCAGAACAAGTCCTTGGCTTCAGTTTGGAGGCCAAGGATTAAATGAATTTCATTATCCTTTCGTACTTATAAGTCCAGACATACCATGAAGAATCTTGAGTTGGCTTTGAGGGTCCACTTCAGCAATCCCAGGCCTTGTTCGTTACAGAGCTTGTCCCTGAATCCCGTTATCTGGATGTGACAGGAGCGCCTGCTGGTCATGCAGGAGGGCGAGACAGAGCCTGAGTGGGTACCCACAGACAGGCTCATCTTCGCTGTGCTACCTGGGCTCGTAGCACCTGAGGGAGATGTGCTTCTTCAAACTCGCTTAATCCCAACGCGCAACAAGCTGCGCCCGGCACGGAGCGTTACCTTGCAGCACTCTGCTGTCAGGCTGGTTTCGGAGATTCAGCTGGATGGTGTTGCAGTCACCTCAGAGAGACTGTACCGGCCAGGCAACGCCTGTGAGCACACTTGCTGTCATAACTGTTGGCAGTATCATTGCGGTTGTTTCGTCTTACCGATTCTTCTGAACTGCTGTTGGACGTCTGTTGCGCCTAGTCTTTCCTCCGGCGCGTTCCGGCCCAAACCACAGCTTGTGCGAGATGATGGCAGATGGTGCAAAGCTTCATCAGCGGTTCTGAAGCTCTGGGGTTGGGGCGTAATTGGATGCCATGTTGTTGTAGAATTGTGTAGACGAATTCTCGCCAAGCCTGGATGCACCATGGGTCACTCTCTGTCTTCGCCAGCCAGCAAAGGGCAGGAGCAGCTCAGCAGCAAGCAGCTTTTGAAAATTATTTTGACCCATCATTCTCATGCCGCTCTGAGTTTGAAGCTTCCCCTGAAGCGCTTGCCACTACCCACGCACCGAAAGGGCAGACGGCCCTGGACACATGCATTGAAGTGGAAGGCCAACTCTGTCGGAAGACTCGACAGCGGACCTGGAAGCGGTTGAGACAAGTGACCTCTGGCTGCCAGGGGAGCGGGGTGCGTTTAGCCGAGGGAAAATGCTGTCCCCCCACATCATGCGCTTGTTTCTGAACGTGTATCCAGAGCAGTAGTGCAAGGCCCAGTAGGTGCCTGTGTGTGCACGGGTGGTGTACATAGGACAATGTGGCAAGCTGCGATGACGACCTGGCCATGACTCAGGAAGGGCATGTAATTGTTTGGGGTTATATATTGGGGTTATATTGGGATAATGGAAAATAAAATGGAAAATGGAAACTAAAGTCCTCTCAAGTTGGAAGGGGTAAGCCACATCCTGGCCAGGTGGTACCAAGCGAGCATGAGGTGCAACCAGCCATTACTGCTGCATCCCGGCGCCCGCAGTTGCGCTCGAAGGCGGCGACAGCAACGCACAAGTTTGTGTGATACTACATTAAAGTAGTTTCCATTTTCTTTTCCATTATCTCAATATAACCCCAATATATCCGCTACATAACCCCTAAATAAACCCTGTAATCCCTATAGTTTCCATTTTATTTCCCATTATCCCTACATAACCCCAATATATATATATATACCCCCTATATACCCCATTACAAAGTAGTTTCCATGTGTTTGGAGGCTCGGAGCTGGGGACTCTTGCCCCAAAGCCACGCGGCCGTAGATGATGAGGTAATTTCCAGGCTTGCTCGAAAATGTTCCGCTTCTGAGGCCATCGAGGTATCACTGTGGAGGAGCTGTGGGAATTCTACAATCCTCAGTCCGACTGGCTGGAAGCCATGAGGCCGGGAAGAGCTGGCACTGAGCTGATGGATCAGAAAGCTGGTTTTACAGAGGAATCATTTTTTGCTGCGCCACCAGCAAATTGATGCCATGTGTCTTGGCAGGTGGAGGTGCGGCATTTGCCACAGGCTTCTCACATAGGTTTGCCCGTTCTGAAATGATGCGGCAGTTCTGTCAAGCCTTGTTTGCATGGTCTTATTCATGGTGTGTAGCTGGCCTCCATAGCTGGTAAAGATGTCAGCTTGAAGGTCTTGCAGCTGTGAGGAATGTATTGAGCCCGACTCGCACTTTGGCAAAGAGATCCTGAAAAGCGTGTAGGTGTGCGCCTGGTAGTCATGCTACGCTGTCCGAGGCCATCATCGCCGCAAGAAGCGGCTGGATGGACGGCTGACGCTGTTGGCGAGGTGGCGGAGCAGGTAGTGGAGCATGTAGCGGAGAAGTTTGACACGCCAAGCCCTCAGGATGGACGTCTCAGAGCTAGGTTGTTTATTATGTTGAGCCTGCTCTGAGCTTTGCCCAGGATGGTTGCCCGCTTTGCTCCGAATTTGGGCTGTTCTTGTGGATCGTTTGTTTTTCCTTTTTCTTCCAAAAGACTTTAATCAGCCTAGGGCAGCCCAGGAAAGTTGACATGGAGAAGAAGGCTAAGCATCGGCATTCTCGCGACCAGCCCGAGAGCCATGCTCGCTGCAGCCACTGCGGTGTGGAAGCTGGGCCAGGCAAAGGGATGAAGGTAGTACCATCATTACTACTATTCTTACTATTATATTGTGAATATATTGTTATAAGGTTTAGGGTTGGGGCTTAATAAGGGTTTAGGGTTTGGGTGGGTGAGGTTTGCACTTGACCGATCAAGCTGCAGGGCGCTGGGAGAAGCGGAACCTCTACGAAGTTGTGGAACATATGTGGCTCTGTTGCATGCTATTCAGGCACAAGGTCTTGAAGTTAACTGGTAGTTCGGCAGGCTTGTGGCAGATTTCATGACCTTCGTTTGAATGTAACAGGCTTGCTCAAAACAAGCCACCATTTTTACTTTGCAGAAGCCAAGCCCTTTGGAGAGTGCATATGAGCGACGGACTAAGTTTCCGTCTCTCAAACCATGTCTAACCTGGATCAAATGTCCCCGAAATCATGCGTTTAACCTGTAAAACGAGATGGTCCCCCCCAAAATAACGAGATCAGCACTTTTGTGTTTGAATTTTGAATGCAAAGTTGTTGGGAAACGAGATTCAAGGCCCGACTCAAGTGCTGCAAAACGAGATAGCAGTAGATTTGGTCAGTTAGTCTCAAGCCTGTTGGGAAACGAGATGGTCCCCCGCAACATGCTCCGGAAAATGTAAAGCGAGATGGAACGAGATTGCGGCACGAGTATGGGAATTTTGGCCATAGGCCAGAGAACAACTTTTGTCCGTTGCTCATATGGGTAGATGAGTGCAAAAACCATGCATGGCTGACATCGGCCCAGGGTCAAACCCATGTGTGCCGAGCTGCAAGTCAGCTACGTCGAGCTGCTGCGACGTGGGCCTGAAGGTGGGACGTTTGCCGCGCAGCGGTTGCTTGCAAAGCGCGAGCGCAGCACCAAATGCCAAAGGCGAGGAGTTGGATGGCGTCCGTCCAGACACTTTTGTTTCCCATTGGTGGGGCGAGGACTTGCCATATCCAGCCCTGCATGCAGCAGATGCTTGTTCTCTCTTATCAAGTCCTCGCAGGAGTTTCCGAAGCTGGTGCGGACCCTCACGAAGTTTGCAGATACCTAGCTGATAATCTTGTCAATGGATAGAATTGGCTGCCGTGATTCGACCCGGTGCTTTAGCTGATGTATTAGAAAAATGAGCATGGAAGTGGTCTGAAAATATCGACTTCCTGTCATCTATAATCCTAAGAAACAGCTGAAATTGTATTGTCTGGCAGAGTTTCAAGGAACTCAGAGTATAGCAAGTGTGCTCCAGATGCTTGGTGTGGCTCTGTTCACAAAGTCACCTATGGACTATGATGAGCGTGTTGATCAAGTTTGTGGCCTTTTGACCGGGACCATTTAAGTTCAGTGCATTGTCTGCTCTGGGGGTTGTCTCTACACTGTATGCCATGGTGTAGACTAGACAGCTGCGAAGCCCATCCTGCAATAGCGCACCGTGGCAGACAAAGGGTCTGGTAGTAGAAAAGATTAGACAAGAAATTGAACCTATCAAGCTACTCAGCGCATCCCAGTAAATTCTAATTTCAGGAAGCACGATGCAGTCGGCTGCCGTGGGTCATCTGCTACACTCCGTACCGAAGTCCAAAGACCTGGGCCTACTGGTGTCTTGGCTGTTAGGTGATGCAAGTAGTATTGGATGATGTTGCGCAGTCTCGCCCGAGCAAATGCAAGTGATAACCAACATGGCGTTGACACAATACAATAGTAGGATCAACTCTCCTCTTCTTCGCTGCTACTATTTCTGTACACGTACGATTTGCAGCGCTACGGATTGCCGCCGCGCCGGCAGCGAGAAGCAAGATGACCGCGACAGCGTCCACTGCACGTCCTCTGCGCGTCCACAAGATGAGTAGTCGTCATTGTCTTCGTCATTGTCTTCGTCATCGTTGACGTTGTGGCAGCACTCGTAGTCGCTGTCGTAGTAGCTTCCCCTGAATCCACAGCAACACCAACATATCGACAATTTAAGATGACCATCATATGTTCACAGTCTTTGGTTGCGGCCATTTCAGCCTAGAATTCAATATCAACGTGGGCGCTCTGCCTTGGTGCCTAACTCGCATAATGTGGGGCAAGGAGGGGAAGGAGCTGGGAGGGGGCCTGTGATCCGCGCGCAGCAGAGATGGTGGGTCTGGGAGGGGGGCATTCCCGAGGCCCGGCCCTCGGCTCATGTATGCAACATGGGATGAATACAAAACATCCCAAAACACCTACACTCTATCCGTACACAGTATCAATTCGCTTCCCTGCAGCGGCCTCCGCTGGTTTTCAGGTGTTGTTTGTGGTTAACCCTAAACCCTAAACCCTAAACATTGCATTTGCAGCACCTCCAGCATCTGATATCGTAATGGAAAATAAAATGGAAACTACTGAAGTATATTGGGGGTTATATAGGGATAATGGAAAATAAGCTGGAAACTACAGGGATTATAATTATTATATAGGGGATATATTGGGGTTATATAGGGATAATGGAAAATGAAATGGAAACTAGCATTTTCATAAAAATTCCCCACGTGACCAACTCGTGTTCCTCTTCTTATCTGGCATTACCAGGAGATTGCGGATCTCAGAATCCAGTGGCATCAGTGGCCAGTCATTTTGTTAACATCTTCTTCTTGTGAAGCACTTCTGGGGATGGCTGCTACCTCCGCAGAATGCTGTGGCCGCAGTCCCGCCCGCCCCAATCCATCAGAAGATACACTGCTTCTTTTTCATTCCTGCTGAATTGTGCTCCCATGGTCTAGCAACGTGTCGCCAAGGCAAATCCACACGAAGTTTGTTAAGAAATGTTCCGAACATGTGCGCTGGTTTTCTGAATCCTATCTTTGACTTAAGCGAGCTGCGAGCAGTCTTTTGTTTCGAGCGTGGGTTGTTGTAGCAGTTTTGGTAGCTATTTTTTAAGAGGCTCGTGCTGTAGAAGGTTCCAGAAGGCTCCGAGGGTTTTAGGGGCTGTCAAGGGTTCTCTTGTTGGTCCAAGGTCCAAGGTGCCCTGACAAGCCGAGAGTTAGGAAAATGATGGAAAAACAGAGGGCTTTCATTTTCTGAGTCTTAGCTAGGGAGGGAACTGGAAATGATGTGGTGCAGGAAATCCAGAGCAGTGATTTTTGTTAACCTTTTATTTAACAGAGAGGGAACCGTACCGGGCTACAGACTGCACGTCTGATGACGTCTGCTGCTGCCAGTGTTGCTGCTGCTGCTGCTGCTGCTGCTGCTGCTGCTATCTATCACCAGGACGACAACGATGACACCGACGCGCAGTAACATTCAAAAACTGAGAAATGCTAATCTTGTCGGGTGACCTTTCAAGATCTTGCAAGGGCTTTGCGCCCGCTGACCTGTTTACCTGCAATATCTGGTCATTCCCCTTTTTACCACCCGCTTCCATTTCATTTTCCATTTCATTCTCCATTATTGCGCCGGGGGGGAGGGGTAACCCTAAACCCCACACCCTTTTGAGTCAATTCTTCCAAAACCTCGGGCCTGCATGGCCCTGGGCGTTTTTGAGCACTCCGACCCCATGCTTTGCAAGGATTTGCGCCTTCGCTAACAACCAATACGCCATTGAGCATGCTTTGGGCGACTTCAGGCCTGTCCTTCATAGCAATATTAATAGTAGTACTAATAGTTATAATAATGGTAATAATAAATGATTGTTAATAACAATACTAAAAGTAGTAGCAGCAGCAGCAGCAGCAGGAGCAGGAGTAGGAGTAGTAGTAGTAGTAGTAGTAGTAATAAACATAGTTATAATCCTGAGTGTGATTCGACCGTGATTAGACAACTTGTTCTGGATATGTTAGTTTGTACATTTGTGTGCATGCTTTCTTCATTGTGTGTGTTACATCCTTGTCCAGCAGCGATGTCACACCGCGGACGGCAGTAATGACATCGGCCTTTGCTACTGCGCTGGACGCTTGGCAGAACTAATGGCAGTGCATTGGGGCAGAGGCAGGTCTGGTCGAAGGGGTCCAATTTGTGTTCTCACAGTGTTGCTCATGAGAGCGACACCATGATTGACCAACTTTGCCTAGCCTGTCCACAATCTCGTCCTTTCCTGAAATGACACAGCGCCCAACTGTCACATGTCCAGGATGCCGTCAATGATGTTGTGGCTGTGCTGGATGACCGAGCAAAGATCTACACCAGGCTCCTGGAGAAACCATCCCGTAACAGTTGAATTGTCTGCTGCTTCAGTGGCTGAGGATCTGGTGCTGCTTCGAGCTTTTCTCTGTTGCTCGCTTGATGCCGCAGCGACGCTGGATGGCAATGTTTGGGATGGGGTCCGACAACGGCGGGGATTGGGTTGGATGGAGGAGTTCTTGAAGGCCTTTGTGTGCAGGTTTTGTACATGTTGCTTGTAGTGTCCAACACGAGCGTGCTCATATGAGGAAAAGGCAAGGACCTTGAGATCTTTATTGGCGATGAGTCTGGCGTGTCTCAGCTGCAAGAGCTTCTGCTCATCTTCACGAGAGATCCAACTGCCCATGCGATGAGTGTGCAGCATGTTCCAGCTGACTGCTGCTGCTTTCTCTGGCAAGAGCAGCAAACAGCAAATGATATTCCTGCTTGCGACAGACAACTGAGGTTGTCAGCTCCGGCTGTGGAAATGTTGACATCATGGGCGCGCTGATCGAGCAGGCAACTCTCGTTTGGCCAGCAGGGCGGCGTGTGCAGCAGAAACCAGTCTTCTTTTGTGGGAAGATGCGCAAAGCTGATCCAGGGCTTGTGATGCCAAGAAGGTCAAAAGACGTCATGTTGAGATCATTGCAACTGCGGGAGATGCAGTCCTGTCAACTTGTGCAACTAGCAACTTACACAAAAACCAGCTGCTGCGACAGCTTTACCCACCAAAGTTCCAAACTGTCCCATCGTGCCTGGGACTGCAGGTAAAAACGGCAGAGGCAGAAGCTTCTAACCCAGACGACAAGGCCCGTGAAGGGGTGGGGAGGCAGGGTAGGCTCGGTTGAACGAAGATTTGCTGGGGATGCCGCACTCGGACGACGTCTCATGCGCCCTGTACGAGCAGGCTACTCACCAAGTCAGCGGTTGTGTTGTGAAAGCGAACTTCTTCAGTTGGAGAATCGCCGTTGAGCAATCAAAATGACAGGCCATGATCGAGTCCGCCATGTGCGCAGAAGGAACTAGCAATGAGGCAGGCTGTTGGAGTAAGGGCATGTAAGGGCCTCTTGTGTGCTACGCGTTCCATGCATGAATTCGAATGCTGTGCCGCAGGAGCTCGATGCTGTGCTCCAGATGCTCGCCAGAACCGGCATTTGTGCAGCGCATCATCGGAAACTTGGCAAGTTGAGAGCAACATCGCGTGCAAACTCAATGATGCTTGTGCCTGCCTTGCCCAAGGTTTTGGATATGGGGGGGTGGGGTGTGTGTGTGTGTGTGTGTGTGTGTGTCTGGCAAGATTGGCATGTTGATCTATGAAACTTAGGAGGTGCATGGAGGGTGCCGCTCTAGCCTGCTGGCTGCAAGGTTGTCGTGATTGCAGAGCTAGATGCACGTAGAAGGAAACTTCAGATGCCATCAGACAGTGAATCCAGCGATCTTGCTTTGTAATCTTGCTCAACCTGTGGCCTGTGGCGCGCTTTCTCTCGGGAGCAACGCTGGAGAGACCTCATTTGCCAATGAGTCAGTGCTGGAATTGCTGCAATGCGTAGAACCCCATGTCCGCTTTCGCGGTAGAAACAATTGCTGCTACCTTGCGCGCTTGTGCTTCTGTCTCATCACTTGCTGCATTCTTTACACCAGGTAAGGTGTGGAGGGCTACCCCACAAGCCCTTGAGAACCTTACCAAGCCCTCCAAAGTCCTTGGCCTGCTGTCACACCAGCACGACGAGTTCTCTGCCAATGATATAGTACCATTATAGACTAAAGTACCAGCAGTACCATTACACTGTACCATTATGTAATGCAGCGTCATCAGTCTACCAATTTTGGAGAATTGGCCCCGTGCCCAGGTGGTGTTGATCGCGCTTTGGCTGCAATGAAGCCATCATGTTCGGACGAAGTTATGATAATGTGTGCGCGGTGTACCTGCCGCCCTGGGGGGAGTATCCCAGTATCCCAAGAAGTAGTGACAAAGTGTTCTTTTGACGGCTCCAGGAAAACTCAGATTTCTACATTGATGTAATGTATGTTGCATGTGGTGATTGTGCTTCTTAACACGGCTTGCATAGTGTTCGCTGTTTACTAGAATCAAAATGGTCTTGACGCGCCTTGTGGAATCTCAGGATGTCACGCTGGCAACCGGGACAGCAGTGCTGATCAGCGTTTTGGGCCACACCGTCAGTTTCAAGGAACATGAGTCGGAATGAGCGTCAAGGCTTTACAGCTGACTCTGCCTCTTGCGCCTGTGCGCTGGCACTTTGTATCACAAAGCGTTGACGCAGCATTTCCGATTTCATCCGATCCAATAATGACCCTGGATGTGCAAGCAGTGCGTGGGCAGGAGTACCTTGGCTTCTCGCCAAAGGCGGGAGGAGATTTGGCATCGGCAATGCGCTATCCCGATTACCCGTTGCAGCAGCCCGTGCATGCTGTTGGCTGTTGGCACCTTCCAGATTTCGTCCATGCAGCATTAACATGTTCAGCGGCGGAAGGCATGGTGTTACATCTTTTCGCATGTCCTGCTCCTTTCGGTGGCCCTTTTCTTCCTGTACCCCGGCTGCATGCAGCATTACCCCTAAGAGTCATTTTGCAAACCCGGTTCCAACAGCTTCTGCTTCTAGATTCTAGATTGCATGGTTCTGCAGCTATTATCGCAGAGTTGCTCCAGTCGAGTCAGCTGGGGCGCGGGCTGCTGAGGTTCCGGGCCGAGCTGCTTGCTTGTCGACTCCGTCAGCGAAAGCATCGCCTGGTGCGAGCCAGGGCCTCTCCATGTCCCACGTTGAGCGAAGAGACGCAGCGGAAAGCTATTTTGGAGCTGCCGTCCCAACCAGTGCCCAGGTGAACCATCGTCTTGCCATTGTGAGCGTGCTCTTCAGCTGGGTGCTGAGTTTAGACCTGGGCAAGATATCTTTTCTGTGGCAAAATGTCTGCCGGATGACCTGGCATAAAGGGTTCCTGAGTGTCAAGCCAAGCTAAGCCAATTACCTTGTAAGGTGTGAAGCTGGCGATCTTGGTTTCTTTTGCTGCATGGGCGGGAGACTGGGCTGGCATCCTGCTCACTCTCTGGTTCATTGCAATGGTGGTGCCTACGCGTGTTTGGCAACTTTATTCATTGGTCTGCAGTCAGGAGTCAATGGCGTAAGTCTTCTCGGAAATCCGCTAGGTGCTGACTCTTCTGGGGCGCCACCCGCTGCGGAAGGTGCTGGATCCTGTGACCTGGCAACATCTGGCAGCATGCATATATGTCTACATCTATGCCTATCTGTATATATACATACAATACGTGCATGTCTTTCTTGAAAGGGTTCCGCTATATCAGCAACTTCTCAGGTCTTCGTGTGAGGATGTCAGGAGGAGGTCGGAGACCCCTCGCCGGGTTGCGCAGCATGAGACGCGCCGATGCGATGCTGTTGAGCTTCCCAGCCATTGAAGCGCACTGATAGCTCGGGTACCGCCCCCACTCTGTAACAGTTGGATAATAGTGGTAACATAGTCATACACTGTTGCAGGGTGGAGGCAACACCCAACTGATAGCCTTGTTGACCGCTCTGTAAGGTGAGGGGGAGACAAGAGTTGGATTAGAGGATCATGATCTATGGTTGCACGCCTTGTCTTCCCCTCCATCGTCAGCAAGTTGCGGCAAAATCTGTTGCTTTCAGGGTGGTCAAAGTGCAACTGCTGTCCCCCAAAAGGCAACAAATTTAGTCGCCATAATGGGTTCCTGAGGTGCTGCACGGGCCTTGGCCCGTTCTTCCGTGACCACTCTTGGACCCACCTAGTTGGCCCCGGGCCAGGCGAGCTCTGACTTCTCATAAGGGTCCTGACAATACACCTGGGGCCACAATTTAGTGTAGAGAACGGCCCGCTTCTCACTCCATCTGTGCCTCCGCAGCAGTCATTTTTGGTAAAGAGCCGAGCCGACACAAGTTTGGCATTCGCTTTGACTCGCGCCGCGACTGTCCTGCCAACGTGCGGGTCACTTGCACAGGGGTGAGTGCGTGCCGCAGCTTCCTGATGGGATTGGACACGTTGTTGTTGGAGAGCTATGTCCTCAAGAGAACTATTCGAAATTGAGTTCACCTTTTTGAAAGTGCCTTCTGGTTCATGCTGCCATCGCCTCAGGAGGTTGCGCCGAGGTAGGACTTAGGCATAGTTCCTGCGCGTGCGTCTGCGTGCGACAGTTTTAAAAGGCGGCTGAGTTGTTCATACATTAATGCGGCTGGTTCATGCCGTCCTTAGCGCAACGCTGCTTTCAACACTTCCATGTTAATGGTAGCTTCTGAAGCCGCTGTGGTTTGGCCGGAACTGATTCCCGGAGCTTGCTTGCAGACTGCCACTGTTGGGAAGGTCTGGACACTGAACAGCCACAGCAAGCCCCGCAAAGGCCGCTTGGTGAAGAAGGCTTGGCCCGTTGGAGTTTACTTGCTAAATCTGCCAGCAACCACAACATGATATGGTAGTTTCCATTTTCTTTTCCATGATCCCTATAGAATCCCCTATTAACCCCTATATAGCTCCGATATATACCCTATTATAATACGGTAAAAGTATGTCAGGCGGTGCGCTGCCCCAAGTGCAGCGCCTACGATGCCAGTCTGCAGCGTGCCTGCCGCAACTGTGAGCATCCCACGAAGGAGGCCGGGCCAAGCTCTGTAAAAATTTGGTAGCTACTAGAATATTGGGGTTATGTAAGGGTCTATATAGGGGTTATATAAGGGTTCATATAGGGGTTATATAGGGGTGATTTAGGGGTTTATATAGGGGTTATATAGGGTTTATATAGGGGTCATATAGGGGTTCTATAGGGGTTATGTAGGGGTTCATATAGGGGTTATATAGGGGTTAAAGATGGATCATGGAAAAGACAATGGAAACTACTATAATGGGTTGTAACAGTGGCCGGAAGCTGCTCTGTAAGATTCGACTGCGTAATTTAGTTGGCTTTCATAGGGTCTGTGACATTTCTTCTCACATGCCAAGACTTTTTTCCCGGCTGGCTCATAGTTAATATGACTGGGATGTAGACATGCTCTTTTGAACCACGCTTGGAACAAATCTTTGCATCTCGTGAAGCAGTGCTTGCGCTATCTTGCGCTGTCGTCGTCTTACGCATTTTTGGTCCAAAGCGTTTTGTGTCACCTCATGTGGCAGTCCCATTTTCGCCGCAGTCCCGTGCCCCGTGCGCAAAGCCATTTTGCTCGTTTCGCGCGTTTTCGTGGAACAGATGCCTGTGCTTGCCATCTTCCGGATCATGCTGCCGCTGCCGGTGTGCACAGCTTTCGGGCCCTGCACTGCTTTTGGACTGCTTTGGCAGCGCGCTTTTGGAGAACTTCAAGTTGGCAGGATGGGCTGAGGTATGGGGCTGCCCATTGTCTTGCTGGAAGCATCCGGACCAGAACCAGAATTCTGACACAACCTCGCATGGGCCTGGCGCGACCCGCTGCAGGCCTAAGATGAATGGTGAAGGTACTAGCAAAACCAAAGCCCTTCTGTTTTCTGCGATGCTGCCATACTTGCTAGCTAAAGCCTGTCCAGGTTGTTGCCCGAGCCGGCTGCCACAGCCTTGGTTCTTCCAGGGAAGCAGTTGTTCGAATGGCATCCTCGTTGCGTGGCCATCGCAAGAAGAGCTGTGGTTGAGAGCTACGGAGAAAGTCTGTCGTTTGAGCCGTGTTTGAAATGTCACAGCCACACCTCCTTTACTTTTAGTCACGGGTGATCAGTACGTAAGGGTCCCTATGGTAGCCCCGACAGAATAATTTCGAGTAACAATCACCGAATCCTATTGCTTCGCTTGCCACTGGCAAGTCTTCCTGTTTTTGTGGCTCAGGGGCGGAGCACTTCGTGCCTGGCGAGACGGTGGAGCTGACCCAATTTCAGTGGCGCCGACCGCAGCGGTTGAGGCTGGCCCCGACCAAACCAACGTTTGAAACGGTCTCCAGGCCTTCATGGACTCCACGTTTGTATGGGGCAGGGTGCATTCTTGAGTATCTTTGTTGCAGAGGTTGAGTCTGCAACCATGAGCCTGTTCAGTTGGTGCAAGGCGTACAGAGAACAGCAAATTCACAGATTGAGAACAAGCAAAAACAAGAAATAAACTCGCGCAAGCACATATCTTGCATCTGGCTGCTTGTCAGTGACGGCTGTGCTAGATAGAAGTGTGGGTGGTTGTCAA